ATAAAAACATGTGACATTTTCTGCATAAGTCAGCATGTAGAGTATAAAAATTAACTTGGTGTGAAAGTGCCCTGCTGTGAAAATGTGCTCCAGTGACACAAACTTTTTTAATCAACAACAATAACACACAACAACTCAAAACTTAAATAAATTTAAATATTATTTAGTTTAGTCTTATTTACTTCAAGGAGCATTATATGTAATGTTTCTTTATGAATGTCTCCTTTTGAATGAAACCAGAACATTGACACTCAATCACATTTATTCACATATAATAATATAGCACTCCTAAGAAATCACAGAAACAGCCTCAGTCAGATGTAAACTTTACATACTATGTAATGTAAATGTGCATCTGTCTGTGCACCAAAGAGTATAAAATCCATGTGTATTCTTAATTTCTTTATCTTCAGTTTTCTTGGTTAAATAAAGGTTAAATAAAAACATTTTAACAAAGCTAATTGCACATAGCTGCAAAGAAAACAGACTTAAAGTAGGCTCTGAGGAAGACGAAAGATTCCTAGGTATAAAAAAAAAACTACTTATTTTTGTAATGTCCTGAATAATTTTAATATTTATTTTACTTCCTATAGTATATGTGGTGATGTGTTCCTAGTAGAAATATGGGGGCATACTTGGATCATTATTATGATTTGTTAAACATTCAAGAATTCTTTAGAAAATGAAGAATACTATGAACAACCCTTAGCATCCTGTTCAGCAGCTAGACAGGGCCTCTTGAACTTCATACTGTCATGATCTACTGTTTTGGATCTTTGATTCTGTTCAGATTTTTCTTTTTAGAGTCTTATTATCTTCTGGATGCTTTTTTTGGCTGTTTGCTGCATTTACAGTCTGTGATTTTTGTCTTTCTGTGTTTGCTGTTGAGATTGATCTTGTTTTGAATTATATCTTAGCTTAACTTTTCCATTGTGTTTTTCTTATGTTAAGTTACTGCTAATGTTTTTCCGAGTAGTTTATCTAAGTAGGACAGTTCCTCTGTCAGGATGAAATATTATCTTCATTATGTATATGGCAAAGATTTGGGAATGTAATCAGAGTGGTGTCCTTTATCTAAGAACATAGTGTAATATTTTGATAAGGCTGGAGCCATGGATGTCTCCTCATTTACAAACGTGCATAAAATAAGGATGTGTTGTGGCATACTGGAGTTGTAAAAAATGCTTCTTAACTGTGATTTAAGACCACTTCAACAAGAAGCAAGCCCGGTTGGCAAGCGCTGCCTTCTGTAACCCTAAGCAAATTCTCTGGTCTGAGTAAAATTACAATGTCTGTCAATGTCTTTTGTCAGGACACATGGTTATTTAATACATATACATTTTGAAGTGTTATTTAAAGAGTTTGTCCCGAGTGATCTCTTCTCTCTCAGGAAAGAATCAGGGAAAGAAAGCCTATAGGTGTAAACACAGAGCTTTCCTTCACAAGTATCTTGTATCTTATGTTTATCCATTGTATAAGTTATCTTAAGTTTTTTTCAGTCTCTTTCCCCTTCCTGTACTATTTCCTTGGTCATCCTGTGTTTCTTAGTTATTAGTCCCATTTCTTTTTTGTGTCGTCTCAGTTTTTCTCCAAGTTACATTTAAGACCTGTTGTTTTTCCTGGTTGCTCTGCTTTGCCCCCTAGTGCCACTCTCCCTTCCCCCTTGTTCCCTTCTAGCTCCTTCTATCCACACCTGCTCCCAGTTAGTTAATTACTGCATGGCATTCTCCTCCCCAGTATTTATGCTCCTATCATTCTTCTGCTCAGTGCTCGTTCCTGCTGTTTTGTTCCCTGTACCTTAGCCTATGTTCCTCCCGTTGGTTTATATTTCTTCTTTACATTTCTGTTTTTGTTTTTTGTTTTTGTCTGGCTCCTTTATCCTCTGTAGTTTTTGTAAGAGCTTCTCAATTCTTTATCAAAGAACCACCAAAATCACTTTCTGCTCTGCCATTATGCATTTGGGTCCTCCCCTAATCAAAACACATACAAACAAAGCAAAACAAAACCTGGATTTTTGTACATGAGGCCCCAGGTGACTTTTTAAAAAATGAGTTTTTGCAAACTTTTTCATACTGCACCTTAATCTCTCCTCTTTCTCAGGATTGATGGTTGAAATATATGTGCAGTAGAGCAGGCATCCCCAATCTCGGTCCTCAAGGCCCCCTGTCCTGCAGGTTTTAGAGGTTTCCTTGCTCCAGTACAGCTGATTTTAATTGAAAGCTGATTAACAGGCTTTTGGTCTACTGCAATCATTATAACCAGCTGTGCTGAAGCAGAGAAACCTCTAAAACCTGCAGGACAGGGGGCCTTGAGGACTAAGTTTGGGGATGCCTGCAGTAGAGGATATCAGTTTGAAGTTTTGATGGGAAAAGGGTTAATGCTAGGCCTTCCACAACAAGAAATGTGTGGGGACAAAGGGTATCCCAACACCGAATCACCTTCGAAGAAGATTATGCATCTGAGGAAGCAAAGAATTTCAAGACTTAGCTGAATCATATTAAACCTTTGTGTAAACATTTACAATAATAGATTCATCACACTGCCAATAGAACATCCTGTGTAACTTCCCCTGCAGCCTGCAAAGGCCCAACTGCTGACATGGTTGCTGTGTTCGTTTTCAGCTGCTGCTTCCTCCAAATGAACCAGCCTACCTGGACTGGGTCCTTCGAAGGCTTTGAAAATAAGGAGACTGAAAGAGGCTATAGAATTGGACAGGTAGAGCTTTCCCTAGCTGTTATTGCCCTCACTCATCATAAGCTCTGTCCCATAGAAACCATGACACTTCTTACTACCCTTTTCTGTGCCAGTTTCATTTTTGAGGAGCTTCAGCAGTAGTACCGTTGTGGCAGTAATCAGATTGTAGTCCCCCACAGTGCAATTTGTGCTTAAATGTCAGCCAAATTCATTTGCACAGGTACAGATAAAACCTCTCAATAAACCGAATATTACCTGCAAGATATCTGACTCACTAATTATTCAAATTAACTTTTATAATTAATTTAAAAAGAAACTATTCACATATTTGTTTTATATTAAAATTCACTTACAATTTTAACAGCTGTTTGTCACCATTTCCCTTTTTCCTCTGAGCACGGAGCAGCTGGCTTGCTTGGACACAATGAATCACGGGATACCCAAGGATACAAAGGACACTTTGGACCTGTCCTTCCATCTTGGACAGAAGAATGCTGAATTTGTCGACCACATTTGAAGGAGTCTTCAAATCCAAACAGGCTACAGCACCACGATATTCGAACACAGAAAAACAGCATCTGTTTAAATTTAATCAGCAAGTGCAGGAGAGGATGTGATTCTTAGGCTGTATTTTCCAGAAACCTCAGACTTACTAGGTATTCCTGTAACTCAATTACTCTGTAGATCATCATTTCAGCACAGTGGAATTTGATCAACTAATTTACAGAAGATTAACTTCCACAACTTTTACAAAGTTTTTTTAAAAAGCATAAGTGTGTAAATGGTCAAATTCAGGTCCTTAGAGAATGAACAAAGTGAATAATCTATTTAAGGGTTACACTTTCACTTTTTACGTAGATGTTAGTAACTTGGAAGGTTACAGAGTTCATTTGTCTTTTCTATTTTTCTTGCTGCTGAAAAGAAGCAAGAGCTGCTGGTAAAATTCCTTATGATTTACTTACCTTGAGGACTTTGTTCATTGTACCAGTTTATGAACAACCACAACAAAACTCTTATGCAAAAAGTCATAATCAGTGTCGTTGCAATAAAAAGAACAAGTATCCATGGAAATTGTAATGACAGGCATCATTAATGTTTTACTTTTACATGAGAATGATTTGCTTTTCTTAGAATCATGTACTCCTGTCTAAAAATGTTTATTTACTGTTATTTGTTTCATTAAAAGAGCACAGCAGAAATATGTTTTTAAATAATACATTTGCACTTTTAGCACTTTTAATCATAAACATTAAACTGAACCAAGCAAAGATAAGTCTGAGATAATTCTGTTTTACAGCCCTGTTGTAACTTTGTAACCTCCCACATTTTAATGGAGGCATCTCAAAACTGTGAGTTCAGCTTCACAGTTCAAAGCACTTTGTTTCACAGTTCAGAGTGGGTCTGTTTTGTGAATATCAGCACTTATAGAGGCGTTATTATTATTTTTGATTATGAAAATTTGCCAGACAAAGGAGAACCATGAAATCAGGGACTATGATACCATTACATCTTTCCTTGAATCCTGGGGACCATTTCAGAGGAGGATTTTTTTGGCATTGGCCATCAGCATCCTACCGAATGGATTTACTGGAATCTATATTGTATTTGTAGGTGACACCCCAACTCATGAATGCCGCATTCCAGAGAACAACAACATCAGCGAGATGTGGAGAAATGTGACAATTCCCCAGGAAACAATTGATGGTGTCACAAAGCGAAGCTCTTGCTGGAGGCTGAACCTACAAACAGTCAGAAACTACTCTCACATGAACATTACACCCAATGTTGATGTGAATGCGAGTGAAATTCCCTGGGAGAAGTGTCTAGACGGATGGACATACAGCAAAGAAGTCTACCAGTCAACAATTGTTACAGATGTAAGCCTTGTTCTTTTCTTAAATATTTAGCAAATGACTGAATTTTGTATTTGTCCTATGTAATAATTTTATTCTGTACGATTTGGTCAAAAAGGTTGGAGATGTTTAAAATCACCTGATAGAATTTTAATTGTCAGTAAACATAGATTTACACAGACTGTTAATTAGAGACCATTTCTTGCCCGCAAATGGTGAGGCTGACCTTTGAAATTTGATCTATGAAGGTTTTACAAACAACTGCACATTTTAAAATATAGTAGGGTAATACAGTCCTTGTAGATGTATACCATCTGGTTAAAATCGCTAAATTACCTCCTTAGAATGTCACTAAGTTCTACAAAGTTTAATTTAATAGCAAAAATTCAAAACCAACAAAAATTTGATAAAGATTTGCTTAAAATCAGAAAAAGCATTTAGTTCTGGTAAGGCATAAGGTGATAAGCCATTCATTTGATTCAAATATGTTGAAGAAAGGAGGGATTTAAAAGTTGCAGAAGAAGTAAGTAAGTCAAAAAAAAAATTTATTATATATATTTAAAATTATATAACAGCAAAAAATATTGACAAATAAATAAAGGGTATTGAAAATAATCACATCAGAACATTTTCCCACAAAATCACTTTCCCACAAAATCAAAACATTTTGATTTTGTGGGAATCTGTTTGATTCCGCCATTAAATCGTGTTTCTTAATTCTCAAAATCCTCCTACAGCATGTTTAGTCCAGTAGTTTTCTTATGATTTATTTTATTTCTTTAGATCCTGTCATATCGTATCAGTGTTGCCATTTTGTTTTCTTCCTTATTTATGTTCCTTTATACCTGTGCTTAGTTCAGTTATTGTGGATCAGGTCTTTAGTATTATCTTATCTTTCATTTTAGATTAGGGCTCCTTACACATAGTACACATTAGTAAGGACACCTAAGGAAAGTTGGAGGTGTGTCAGCTGTCGCCTTGATAAATGCTATCTGAATATTGCTAGCTAGAAAGAGGAAGCAGGATGTTTGCTATCACCTGTTTAGTTAGCATAGGGACCTCCCGCACTTCCTAACTGCCTCTAGGAGCTATACAGTTTTCCAAAATCCTTTGCAATACAGGATGTATAGGCACAGCTCATCTCATGGAGTTGAACAACAATGCATTTCATTTTTGTGACACGTGTGGCACGCGAATGTATAAATCGAATGTATAAATCTTATTGTATGTTTTTGGTTTCATAATGAAGAGTTTCAGCCATTCGCTACATCTGTGTAATTGTTGTTTCTTGAGGTGTTTTTCAAAAGGCTGCAGCAGTCTTCCGAAAAAGGACAAGTATTATCCAAGTACGTGTCCGTCATGTAATGAACTCCGTAAGTCTAAAAGCTGTCCAGATTCAGCACAACAGTCCAGAGCTCCCTTTCTCCTCCTTGATAGTGATCTGAATGATTCCCCACGAAAGGTGAAGGGATAGGAAGTAGAACATGATCATTAAAAATCCGAGAACATTTTTTCTCTCCACCTTGAAAATTCAAATACAGTATAAAACACGGAGCCTGGATCGATATTTATTTTTGTTTATGGTCATGGTGGGGAATCCTGCTTCACAGCAGTAGGTTGGGCCAAACATACTCAAAATGTGCAGGGTCACCTTTGAGCACGCCAATTCACTTTTCTGTCACCGGTTCACCGCGCTTCTTCCAGCAGTCCACACTTTCTCTGCTCTCTTTTTCTCATTGTCTTCTCCTTCTTTCCCATCGCCCAACTTGCCACAGGTTTGACTGCTGTGTCTAAAAGTAGCAGCAGCAGCAACCCAGACTGAAACAGCTCATTGGCAAATTTGTATCATGTACAGCCTGGTGCTGGACGCTCCAGATGGCTTTACCATACAAACACAAGAAGCGGCGGTAGTGACATTTAGACACTGCCGTCGGTCAACATGCATTAATTCATAAATGTTCTAAATCAGGTTGGGTCCGGATCCGGACCCTGGTCCACTAATCCATGACCTCTGTTATATAGTGTCTATATATATATATGTGTGTGTGTATACTATATATACTATATACACACAGTGTATATAGTATATATAGTATATAGTCCTTAGGACCCTCTGTCCTACATGTTTTTGGTGTATCTCTGCCTCCACACATCTGAACTGAAAGAAAAGGTAATTAACAGGCTTTTGCAACATTTGAATGCTGTCAAGAAGGAAATGCAATGCAAGCATATATTTGTTCTGCCCAGCCACTGGACCAGGTGAGTTACTCTGCAGATTGGACTCTCCTGGTTCAGTGGCTTGGCAAAAGAAACACATGACATAGAGACGACTTGTTGCCTCCAAATCCCCATTTCTGAGAAACCACATAATCATGTAGTCAAGCCAAGCCAAAAGTGGCGGGACACTGACCCACCAGCACCTGTGTTTTAGAACATTGATTTAAATAGTTCTTTGTTGATTTCCTATTGTAGAAGCTTTCCATTATTGTTCTAAATTGCACACACCATGTTTCATGCTCTCCCTGTAAGTTTTCAGTATTTGATTTATCCTTTATCAAAAGAAACTCCTAACGTTACGAACTAGATCTTTTTTAACTCATTTTGTGCCTTAAAAGTCCCATAAACTTGTCATGTTAACTATAGAATTCAAAATCATTCATTTTATGCTAATTAATTTCAGATAGTAAAATGTGCCTCATTACCCAGAAGTCACGCAAGAACCATTTCCATGAAGAAAAAAAAAAAACATTTTCTCAAGATATACACAGCTCTATTATTGCATAACATACTGATTGCATTATATCTTGTGACAAAATAAACCTTTAAACCTTAAATAAAATCTGTTTTTACAGTGGGACTTGGTATGTGATGACGCTTACAAAATTCCACTGACAACCTCTATTCATTATGTTGGGGTTCTAATAGGAGCTATGGTATCAGGCCACATGTCGGACAGGTATGTACGTACACATGTAGCATATATTTATGTGTCTTTTTAAACAACATTTAAACTTCAACTTTTTGTCTTAGGGTTGCTGAATGAATGACTCGTTAGCTTGTCTCCTACAGGTTTGGAAGGAAGCCTATTCTCTTTGTCATGATGGCTGTACAAACCATAGCACTGACAGTACAGATCTTCTCACCCAGCTGGGAGATCTTTACCTTCATCTTTTCCCTTGTGGGGGCTGGATCCTTCTCCAACTACATAATAGCATTTGTTTTAGGTAATATAAAGTCAGCACCAACTATTGCTTAATGTTAGGAATGTTTCTGCCCTCTAGGTCTCTTCACACTTCCCACAAAATCATTGAATTTATGTATCATAATCACATACATGACTGTAGGAGTGTGGCGCCACATCGACTCGGGATACGGATTGCATTTGTGACATTTATTCCTCTCAGGACCTTTGTCAATTAGAAAGTAATTTCATAGAAATATGAGACCTGTGAGATGAGTCTACGGTTGACTTTTCAACACTATAGAACATTCCACAGTCTGTCGACGGTCGACTCTTAGAGGTGTTAAAACTGTAGAGGATGTTTTTGAGTTTTGCAGTAAAAAAACTATAAAGGCTTTAATTCCCTTTGTTTTCAGTTTGACTATTAACTTTAGAGAAGAGGAGAGGTTTGTCTTTTCTTTTTAATTCACAGTGTTTTAGTCTGCCTTTAAAATATTTTGAACATACAGTCCGAAAGGACCTTATTAAAACCTTAAATATAAGTCAATAGGTACAGCCTTGTGCAAAGTAAAATACAAAGCTATATGAGTTATTTATATTCATATATAAATAATCAAAAAATGGTAATAATTGACCAAGACAACAGAATTTCCTAATTGAAATTTTCTACTCACATAACCTACAGGATCCGAACTTCTCAGCCCCAGAACCCGAGTTGTGTTCTGTTCCCTTGGTGTTTTTATGGGCTCCGCTGTAGGTTATATGGCCATGCCTGCCGTGGCCTACTTCATTCGTGAGTGGAGATTGCTGCTGATTGCAATGGCTGCATCTGGACTTATCTACATTCCTCTTTGGTGGTAAGAATACTAAAAACACATTTTAGATGAAATCATGCAAAACAAAGGTTCTGATCAGATTGATATATAATATCCTTTTTGTTTTACCTGCCAAATACTCTGTGTCTTGAGGTAAAAATCATCAAAGAATAAATTATTTAACTTGAAAACTTGGGGGTTTCACCAAGCCTCTTCCAGGCATCTTGATATCCTGAAACTCAAAGGGAAATATTTCAAACAGTCTGTTTTGCAGTAATTTGGTTCTGGTGTAAGTCTCAGGGTCTGCTTAGCCATTGTTCAGCCTGGAGATTTTGTCCCTTGGCAAGGGGACCATGATGCTTTCCTCTCTGATGTGAACCCCATGAGTGCCATGAAAAAGAAAACAAAGGCATGAGGCAATTGCTTTGTCCTCAAAGGCACACCCTTGTAGTAGTGTCTTGTGAAACTGTCTTTGGCTGTGAGAGAGTTACAGAAGCTTGAGTGTCCGAACAGCAGGCAAACTTTAATCCTCCTAACCCAGTGGTTGTTTTAAATATCGGTATGGACACTGGTCCCTCCTATTAAATATCTTCATGCTTCCCTTAGCTCAGATTATAATAAACAACAAGATCAGTTACCACCAGTCACATCAAAATGTCACCAGGTGTCTATGAACCCATCAGAGTATTGGCTAGATGCTTAGAACAGATCAAGTCTCCTGACCTAAAAAGGCTCTATAAATGTCTAATCTATTTATGATTTTAATTAACATAAAATTGCCATATTATATTTAAAAATTGTGCTTCCAGTGAAATTTAAATTTCCAATTCAGGCAATTTATCCATATTCTTAGACTTTTTAGATCATAAAAAGTAATTGCAGTCACTTTATCCAGTAACTAGTTTAGTTGTGCAAACAGAGTTACTTTTTTGTAGAAGTTACAAGTAACTATTTTTTCTTTTCAGTAACATTTCCAACACTGGTTATTTATCCTTGTATCCTTTTATTACTAAAGAACTTTTCTCATGCCAACCACAAAAAAAAAAGAAAAACAGCAAAACTTGCTACACTTTTCATTAATATACAACAAAAAGGTAGGGCTCAAAGCTAAACTCTGTTGTACAATACAATGTCCTAAGATGCAAATGAGAAATTTCACAGCAACTTTGCAAGCTGTTATGTTCTAACTAACTTTAACCTGTGTGCACATTTGTCTATCCAGGTTACTCTCAGAGTCTCCTCGCTGGCTGCTTTCTCAGGGGAGAGTAGAAGAGGCTGAAGCCATTCTTAGAAAAGCTGCAAAGATGAATAAAATAGAAGTCCCTCAGGAGATTTTTAGTCGATTCGAGGTAAGTTTTTGTCACAGGGAACTGTTTGGATAAAAGGGGGAGGGACTTAACAGGCTTGACTAGTCCTACTAGTCCTAAAAAATGTTTAAAACAAACAAAAGTGCTGTGTTCAAAAAATAAGCCTAAAACTAAACATTGGTAAACATGAGCGCTGATGTCAGGCAGAAGTAAACAATCATACTAATAAGAGCTAACTACAGCAGCACCATTCGGGCAATGCACAGTTTCTCCTACTTTCATCAGGAAAACGATTCAGGATTATTGCATCAGACACACATAGATCCAAGAACAGTTTGTTTCCTAAAGCTGCAAAGGCAATCATTCCACTGCACCTCCAGCCTGTTTTATAGACTCTTTCAGCTCAAGCTATGCTTTGTGTAAATACAACATGCTACAATTCATGAAAACATGTCTATGTTCAGTCTTGCTAATGATGCTAGTTCTTTATATTTTTTCCATCCATATTTTCCTGTGACCATTGTTCATTTTTCAGATTTTTTTAAAGAGTCACAGTCTGTCAAAGAGGTTAGACAATCTAAATTTTTAAACTAAAAGTTGTTTACCAAACAAAACTTTTGCATCGAGTTTACAGTCATAGAACATATCCATGACTACTAATTCTTCTAATGCATTTTCATGAATCTAATACTTTTTATGTGTATTAATAGCAATAACAATTACATTTTATCTTACATAGATTGAAGATGCTTTGTCCAAGAGAGAGGAAAAAACAAATCCACTGGTCATCCTGAAAAGCTGCAATATAGCATCTATTACAGCTGTGTGTGCCAGTCTTTGGTATGTGTTTAGCTTTCTTAAATGGCATAATGCTATCATTGTAACACTTTGTTCACGGTTGTGTTTAATGCTTAGCATCTATATGACTGCAATAAATAACTGTCTAGTTTCTAAATAAGATTCTTGTTTTTTTATTCTGTCATTAAAAGCATTTTTTTTTTATTTCTTACAGGATGGTTATCACCATCAGCTATTATGCTTTGATCCTCAACACTTCAAATCTTCACGGTGACCCCTATCTAAACTGCTTCCTGTCTGCTGTGACAGAGGTTCCTGCATATATATTTGCCTTGCTGCTGCTGCGGTTCTGCTCCAGGCATATTTGTCAGTCCTCCACTCTTTTCCTCGGAGGTGTAATGATACTCTGTGTTCGGCTCATACCATTCGGTAATCACCAATTCCACACACTGTTAATAAGCAGAAATGGAGAAAATATTCAAAATGGTCAAATTTGTGCAAAACTAGTTGAAGAGAGAAATTAAAATGTTTGTCAATACATTTTAGCCTGGCTTATATCTGCGCTTCTATTTCATTAGAAAAGATCTTATCATAAGCCCTGAGAAAAACAAAAACCCTAATAGTTCCCAAAATATGGTCCTTTGTTCCACTTGTTTTAATATTAGATATAATAATATTGTAAAACATATTTTTGTTGTCCATTTCTCTAGATTTACCCAGTGTGGCTATAACTCTTGAGATGTTTGGTAAATTTGGAGTGACTGCAGCCTTCTGCGTGGTGTATTCAGTCACATCAGAGCTCTTCCCTACTGTTATCAGAAATACAGCAATGGGTTGGTGTTCGATGGCTGCCCGTATTGCAACCATCATCTCTCCTTTCATCATTTATCTAGGTAAATGTATTACATTTTTTTCTGTTTTCTACTCATTAAATTCTTAAAGGAAATGTTTATAAAGACCTGATGCCATCACATAGTCACTCTATACTTTTATTCAGAATATGAAAAGATTATTTGATCTAAAAATTTTTTTCTTTAGGTTCAGTTTAAAGTCAAAACAATTCAATCTGAAAAACTTAGAAGACATTTTTTGATAAGATTACTTGATATTTGGTGCTCAGACCTCGGCAGGAAACATAGCGCTGAATTTTGATTGATATTCATCAACAGGGCTGTTTCTCCCCAGACCTGAAACTGGTGAGGGAGTGGAGATAGATGAAGTTAGTCAGTCTGTAGACTGCTGGTTAGCAAGACAGTATGCTAGGCTTTATGGGGAGATTCAGTGGATTGCGTGATCTGATACTAGAGCTTCACTCAGGGACCTGGAAGACAGAAGTCCAGTTTGGATAACACAGGTTGAGAGAACCTGTATATGATGAGCAAGCATGAAGCAACAGTGGAGAGGAAAAACTCCCCATTGGGAAGAAACCTCTGGCAGAACCACGCTCAATATGGCGGTCTTCTGCCGGAGTGCTTGAAAGGAGATGCGTAATGCAGTAGGGGTCCGGGAGGAATGAAACTGATGAAGTTTTAGTTACGATGGTGGAGGAGGGGCTGGAGGTGCGGTTAAAGGGGGTCATCTGAATAAAGTCACACAGTGCAACCAACACCTGCACACTAGGTAGCAGACGAGTTGAGAATTGGAGGCCTTTTAAGATGAACTTTGGATGCTGATTGGCTTTCAAGGAGGTGTGGTTCAAAGCTGATTGGCTGTGTCATAGGCAGATGAAGAAGAGTAATCCGTTTATTCTGCTGAACCCCCACCTACAGTAGGCTCTATTTGTCCAACTGCCCCAGTTAGTGGATTCCTGGTGTAAATGCCCTAAACTTCCCAGGTGCCATTGCACCTAGATCAATCCATCCTCTCCCGCTTTAGGTTCACATTGGGGTGGGTGCCTATCTCTGGTCCTCTATGGGGAGAAGCGGGGTACACCCTGTACAGGTCGCCTGTCTATCTCAGGGCAACACAGAGATATACATTCACACACACACTCACCCCTAAAGACAATTTGGAGATGGCAATTAACAGTAATGTTTTGTTTTTTTTCGGGGGCGAGAAAGCTGGTGTACCTGGAGAGAACTGACGTATT